GAAGGCTCACCCGGCCTCCAGGAGGCATGTGGGCAGAGCGAGGATCCTGTGAACGAAGGATGTAACTGCCTGGAAGAGGCGTGGCATGCAGTTGGTGCTCAAAAGCCGATGCAGACAGGTGGGCGTTGGCCAGGGCTTGGTCCTCACTGAGCAGGTGCAGTGTCCTCATCCCAGAGAGAGGTTCTCGAACCCTGCCTGCAGCCTGTGTACATGGGACCAAAGAAGAGCTTGTGCGTTTGATAAAACTTAGGACACTGAGACCTCTCAGTGAATGTTTTTGGATCCTTGGGGGGGTGTGACCAGAACAGCCTCAGTTGCTGTTAACCTTTGGGGGGTGTCTTGGTGTCGTTCATCAGGGAAGTGTCTAATCAGGTAGCTGAGGGAGGGAGAAGCATGATTTGCTCTGAATGTGATTAGATAGAACATTCTGATATCAAAGGAAATGCCAGAGGCATTTTTTAAAAAAAAATTTATAATTCTTTCATGATTTGGCAGGTAATTATGATAATTCCTGGGATTTTCACAGACTTAAAGGCTTTTTCACAGCCACTTTGTTTTTGGAAATCATCTTCTCTGATGCTCCAGCTGGAATGGATTGCTCAGTCCCCTGACGTTCCAAAGGCATCGTCTTCCAAAGCCCGACTCAAATGTCACCTTCCTGATGGCACTTTCCCACATCCCTTAGGCCAGGGATACCAAGCAGGGGTCCCCCACGGACCCAGATGCTGATCGGTTGGTAATGGCTGCCTGAGTGTTTTCTTGAGGAAGGAGTGCAGCAAGCAGCTAGTGATGTCTGCCAGGGGCTGGAGGTGGGAGATAGGAGGTGAGCCTGGTGAAGTCTACCAAGCCATGTGGTTGAGCATTTAGGTGGGTTCCAGCTGTTTGGAGTTAAACTGGTGCTTTGGGCACAGGGGCAAGTAGAGGCACCAGATAACTCCCAAACAGAGATGTGCCAGGTCACAGGTGAGTGATGTAAAAGTTGGATAGATGTTGCCAGATCGCCCATGACTTAACACTTCTTGAGTCTTTCTACCTTCCATCTTTGTTCTCTCTGGGGGAGGCCTTCCCTGACACCCTGTCCTCTTCCCCAGTCTTTCTCTCTCCCTGAGCTGTAAGTTTGTTTGACCTGGAGGGTGTGAACCCCATGACATACCTGCCTCCCCCCACCACACGTGGAACAGGGCCTGACACGTGGTTAGCAATTCTGTTGGTGACGTTGCCTCAGTGGGGGACAAGGAGTCTGTCTCCACAGCTGAGCTCCTTGGTAGAGCACGTGTGGCCCCTTGTATCCAGCTTCAGCAGGCATCCTTTTCCTTTATTTCCCTTCCATGCCATCACCCATCCTGGAAGGCCGGCTCTCCCTCACTGAGCGCTCACCATGCCCAGACACAGTGCACCCGCTCAAGGCAGCAGCTCCGTGGCCCCATGCAGTGGGTATGGTTTTGAACCCTCATTTAGTAGGTGAATGGCTCTAGGCTCCTCGTCGTTAAGTGATGTGCCCTAGAGCTGACTGTAAGTGATCAAGTGCAAGCCTATCTTGCACCGGAATCTGAGCCCTTAACTGCCTTGTCTCAGCTGCCCACGCCACCCCAGCAACTTAGGGGCCTTTGCACCTGAAGTTTCCTCTGCTGAATGTGCCTTTCTCCTCCCTGTCTACAGGGCATCCTCCTAGAGCTCAGCGCGTTTATGGGATGTAGATCTGTGGGTCTGAGTGACTTTAGATGCCAAAGGTAGGGGGCAAGCGATGGGGGGTTAGAGAGAAGCCGGCACCAGATCTCAAAGGTGTTTGGGTTTTATTTATCTTCAGGGCAGCAAGAAGCATTGAAGGTTTTAAACAGCAGGTGACAGCATCAGATGTTGCTTTGGGAAGATCACTGGGTCTGCTCGGTAGAGGAGGGACTTGAAGGGTAGCTACTTAATGTCCCTCCCTCCCCATTCCCTGCGAGTTTCTGTGGCTGCTGAAAATCAGGATTGGTCAGGTGGGACCTGTAAGCACCCTCAGAGCCTAATAAAAACTCCAGCAGGCAGTGCTTGAGCTTCCTGCTTTCGTTTTTATGATCTCCGCTTGGTCTGGAGGCTCTGGGAGACTTGAATCCATTTTTAGTTATACTGGACTTGGAAGGAGGTACTCACGGAACAGCATGCTCGGCATGGTTTGTGGAAGACGAAAGCTGTGTGTCTCAGTGCCTGTGTGTAGGGATCTCTCGTACAGAAATTCAGAGTTTCAGAGCCTGGCTGAATAGCAGGGAACCTTGTAGTTTTCATGGCTGCTCGAAATGAGCGCATCAGATTTTGTCTCCTCTGTTCCCCTGGATCTCCACCCCTTCCCCCTGCCTCCTTCCCTAGTGAAATGAAAGCTTCATCTGACACGGTCAACTCACTCTTCTGGCTGCAGAAGAGAACAGCTCGTGATAAATACCCTTTGAAGCTGGGATGTGTCGATGTTTTATGCATTTATGGAAAATTTGTTTCAACACTCTGGCTGCCCCTGCAAAACAAAGCAAAACAAAAACAAAGCGAAAGCCCTGCTTTGCTTTGGAAATGACAGCGGCATTTATTTAAAGCTCTATTTTGTGGGGGCACGTTGGCAGGTATTTAGCAGTGATATGGGTAGTTATGTCACAGTTTCCTGTTTACTGTGTGGTAAACGGATTCTTAGGCCCGAGGAGGCTCATGGGGGATTTACGTGATTTCTGTATGGAGGATCCACACACGCATTATTAGCGATACTGTGTGTGTTTGTGAAAGGCCACAAGAAGACCATCCTAAGCTTTTTTTTTTTTTTTTTTTTTT